TCATCTGTTTTCCACAGTTGGATATATCATTTTAAGAGAGATGGATAACAGGTTCTTGTAGCATGCAGGAGTCTTCTGCTGTTTTCCTGAATAAAAGCACAAAGTGAATCTGTGCAAAAGTGAGTGGGATTTGATGGATTTTCCCCCAACTAACAGTAGTTAGGGTTTAGCAGATTTAACAGGAAGGTCACACATTTAAGGCTGGAAAGCCCTCGCTCATCCTCGATAGCTTTGCACATATCGAACTGATGACCCACTCAGACAGATGTGAAGGCCTCATCCTCCTAATGCAGAACCTTGCTATGTGATTCAGTGGGGTGAAGAGGTTAAGGTCCTTATCAGGCAGTGCAGTCTAGTCCTGGTTTTGTGGCAAGCTTTTCTTTTGGTAAAAACATACTTGGAGCACAAGAGTTGAGCATTCTTTCTTGTCAGTGTTTGCTGAAATGATGGTGCCTTTTTTTGCTTTACATGCGTTGGCTCTTGCCTCTTAGGACTTAAGAAATCAATAGCAAGCACTTAATAGCATTTGTTTTCCTTTCTTGCAATAACACTTTGAAGAACAGCTGCCTTGAAATCAGCTGCAGACGATTTTCCATTGTAGAATAGCTTTGTAGTCAAACATGGATGGGCCACATCTCTGCTCTGTACTCTGCACATTTGATGTGAACCAGCTGTGCCTGGAATTTCTGGCTCAGATAGCCACCAACTATAAAATAAACTACGGCAGGTAATAAATGACTGTTACTGTTGAAAATATGATTTGTGCTTAAATGTCGCTGATCAGCATGAGTCCAGGGAATGAGCTGCTTTGACAGTTGGAGAGGAATAAAAAAAGGGGGGAATAAAGAGGAAAAGTGAATTAAGTGTTGGTGCCAGTATAGCCTCAATAGGAATGTCTGGCTAGGTAACCCTCTTCTGTGGTTACCCTCTCTGAGACTTGGTTTGGCTGCTCGTTTATCTCCCTCTGGGGCTGTTATGACTGTCAATGGGCTGTGCACGAGTGCTATGACATCCCTTTAGGATTTGAACAGCAGTGCATAAGCTATTACTCCCTGGATGATGATCTATATATATAACTCCCATTCTCTATGCCCCCATCCCCTCTTATATTCTTGTAGCCGCTTCATTCTAACCCCCATGCTAGCCCCGTTGGCTCCTCTTGTATTCACTCATGTGTGTAAGCATCCATGTGGACATACCATATATATGCAATATTAATGCCCCATGGGCAGGAAAGGAAAGGTCCCATTTGTTGGCTGTTATGTGCCATCACTCTCTTTAAAGCACACATTGTGAGGTAAAAAAATAAATAAATAAATAAAAAAGAGGCGAGCGGGGGTGCTGGGAACAAGACCAGGAAAGGCTCGCTTTGGTGTGCTGAAGTATGTTACGTCATGCCAAACCTGCCTCTTTTGAAACTCTAAATGTAGAAGGGGAGGATATCCGTGCAGGAGAGACAATGAAGTCAAAAGAACATAGTGTAACCAGACTATTGGCTGCTTTCCCTCTCCCCCTCCAGCTCCTCTTAGTTTGCTTTGTCCTTCTCTGTGTTTGGTTCACCCCTCAGCCCTTTAGCTAACACAGAAAGATTCGTCTCCATCTAGTCACTGGATCTCTTTTATATGCGTGTTAAGTCAGTGCCTGAGCTTTGTTGAAGGAGGTGCCTGCTGCCAAGTTCTCTCACTGTATAAGCCAGCTGAAGCACAATATGGCCCCCAAGCATTAAAGCAAACCAGACTTATCAGTTTCCCCTTTGTGAATACATAGGCCTACATATATCTCATTACAGACAAATGTGATGCTTGAATATGGGAGAATGGGAAGGGGGTGTCACAGAAAGTTTTAATTCAGTCCCTGGGGGGTTTCCTAATGCACAATGCTTAGTCGTGTATAGACTCAAACCTGCACACCACATTGATCTTATCAGCCATGTATTGTCCTTGAAAACCTGAGAGGTTTAATCATTTGTATTTATCTAGCAAGCCTGAAAGACCATTAACCTCTTAGCAAGTCTTTGTCATTATTTAAAAAAACGATTAGTGTTTTCCGGGTCACTTTTCTTTTGTGTGTGTGTTCTGGATCACAGCTCTGAGTGGTGGAGTTAAATTTCCCCGCTGTGGGATAAATCTTTATGTCATGATCTTTATAAACCATATCCATAATCTATGGGGTTATTATAGAGGCCAGGCAAAGGGAGAGGGGTCAATCTCCCATCTGCTCACAGCTCCTCATGCAGATGAAAATCATCTGCAGCGGCAAGCAGAGGCTTTCCTCTCCTTTTTGATCCACATATCCCCTCAGAGAAAAACCTTTATCATCCTTGAACTGAAAATCCTCGCAGTCAGCTGTCAAAGCAAAACGCAGAAACACGTAAACACTACAGTTCAATGAGCACGAGTTTGTCAGATGTCATCAGTATATCTGGGTAGTTGATCAAGTGGGCTGTGTGTTTCAGTTGTAGTTTTCTCAATTAAATGAAACATGGTTTGTAGATGTTACTATTTCCTGCCAGTTGCAATAACAATTACGGTTTACTCGCCCTCTTCAGTGAGGAAACACAGGAATGTGATGACACTGATTGACTCTGTTATTCAACAGATTCCAATTTATCATCAGTGTGATCTCTTATAAAACTATATGGCTTTGCACATCTATAAACATCCATAAAAACTAGATGTCAACATAGTATGAAATATAGCAGAATAAGTGGTTGTATTTTTAAATTATCAACACTAGTATTGCTAATAATTACTGAAAACAAATTGCAACAGAGTCGAGTCATCTTTCTCTCGTTTTTTTTTTTTTTTTATCTTTTTGTCTTACCTGTCTCTTTTCTCTCTTTCCTTGTCTCTCTATCTTAACAAGCTGTGTGAAATGTACCTGTTTCTGTAGAATATGCCTGAAAGACGGCTGCAAATGAACGCATTGTTTTTTTCCCGTGTAATTAGCAAGACATGCTCTAAGGGTTAAGGATGTCAACACCATACTAATGATTCAGTAGGAATAAATACAACTGGCATTAAAGCTGTTCACTTTAGGGCGCATAACGTAAACATTAGTCAAGCAAAGATTAAAACGAGTAAATAAATAAAATGTGTGGTAAACAAGCCATCTGTCATCGCTGAAATGATAGACCTTTATGACTTAAAGCTGTTAAGTCCAAGTGCACTGGGAGACATTGCAGCTTTGCATGGTTTTAGACCTTTCATTCAGCGCAATGAGTCGACTTTAACAAATATTGACTTTTGGGAATTAAATCAAAGCTGTTAAATCAGTAACTTTAAAATGCGTAGGTGACAGGTTGGAAGCTGTTCTGGTCACTGTTCTTTCTATCAGTCTCTTAGTCTTTCCACCAGTCTCGTAGCAGTCAGTGGGATTAGGATTAGTGGTCTGAGGCTGGCTTCTTTAACGAGAACTAATTGATCTGCGACCGAGGATGTGTTGGACACTGCAGTAGACAGCAACAGAGCAGGTTAAGGGGTTATGCAAGGTCGGCAAACACCACATTGCTGCAGCCTGCAGAAACAGAGCCACTGAGTTTGTTGGCTCTAGAACTAGGAAGTTTAATCCACACGTTGATGCATGGCTTCCCCTCTGCCATCGGCTGTGGGCAGCAGGCCTCTCTTTGGGGAGGCATCTGCACTGGAGCCCACGCTGGGCCTGATTAGTCAAGGCTGTCCAACTGTGCTGTTGAGTCTCCATGTAAACAAACACAAACCATTTGTTGGGCCTTTATTGCACACAATCAGTCATTGTTTGTATGGGAAAAGCATTCTGCTGTAAGTACAAAATCGCTGATGTCAACAGTTTGAACCAAAGGGGTCAGTCGATGTAACTCCCTCCTCCTCTTTGTCTTTTCAGAGCTGTGGAGTGACTGGTCCAGTTCCTGTCCATCCAGTGAGCCTAGTGGCTGCCAGCGCAGTGAGCTGCGTGAAGTGTCTCAGAGCTGTGGATTGCATCATTATAGGACAATAGCAATTGGAATCAAAGCTCTCCCTCCTCCTCCTCCTCTTCCTCCATCTCCTCCCCCATTTCTTTTTCTCTCAGCCTGACTCGCCACACACACACACACACACACACACACACACACACACACACACACACAACCCTCTGACCACTCCTCCCACAGTGGTCATGGTCCACTCCCCCTGTCTCTCCAGCCAGTCAGCCAGTGAGTCGATGGAAGCTGTGTAATCCTCTGTAAAGTATAGGGCCTATACGGCTGCATATGCTCCCTTTTGTCATGGCGGCTGTTGTTGTTGCAGAGGCCTCCCTCAGGAGAGCACATGAGGGAGAACAGAAGGCAGCATAAAGCTCACAAAGGGTGGAAGAGAGAGCGAGCAAGCCAGTGAGTGAGAGACACTGACGCTGCTATTTATTTGACCGCAGGAGAATGAGCTTCACAGGGCAACGGATGGAATTCAATGGGGGTGAAACTACATGATGTGGGACTGGCATTACCGCCCCACGCCAATCACAAATTGGACCAAGAGTCAACTTTGGAGATATTTGCCACATAGTGGTCTGCAGCGAGGAATGCAGTGAAACAGAGAAAAGTATACAAGACTTTTTCTCTTGGTTTAGAGTATTTTTCTATTTTTCCTCTCCTTTGGGGTCTTTTTTCAGTTACACCCTACCAGAAGTGCCTTTTTCTGTTACTTTTTGTCTATTTTTTTAATCATCTTGCTTTATATTCATACTCCAAACTGCCACAGATTATTGCATGTAACATACAGTAACTTTCACATTCAGTGTGTGTTGCCATATTTTAAAGAAGGTACATAGTATATTTGACATTGTGTGTATGTGTTAACAGACACAACACCAGCCTCCATCAAATACACAGTTGACAATCATCACTTTTCTTAATTTTGTTTCTGCTCGGGGAGAGCTTATATAGTCCCAACATTAATTCACTTAGAGTAAGGTTGCGCCAGACCGTGACTTTCTGCACTGCCTCCTCTGAACCTTTGTTGGTTTGACAACACGTGGCCGTCACCATGGTCAGTATCCAATCCAAATGGCGCTACCTTTTCATGTTCTTGGGGATCCAGTTGGTAGTCATGGCACTGCTGTCCCGAGAGGGATATCAAAAGAGGGTCTCCTACTTCATCCGCATCTTCCGCAAGCCTGACACCACTGGTCTGTCAGGCCGCAACCACTCATCAGCAGGCATCGCTGGAGGGGATGTATACGCCAATCTCTCCCACCTATCCAAAACGCATGGCCATGGAGATGACATGCCCTTATGCCCCAAGAAGTCTCCTCTTATAGGTGAGTGGTCTTTCCTGTTTCTGTGCCATTCCCTTGTACCTGAACAGGCTGTACTACTGAAGATAGATCACTCTTTCTTTACATGTGTAAATCTCTAAATACAACATTGTCTTATAAACAGGCATACCTGGTGATTTTCTGGAATTACATATTGGTGTCATTCATTATCAGGGCTCGACAGTGCAAGCGTTTCACTCGCATTTGCAACTAAAAATAGGTGTGTGCGAACTGTAAAAAATATTTAGGGGCACATGTGCACATAAAAAAATCAGCCGAAGCAGCCTATATTTTTGTCAGTAAAAAAATATGATAATCTAACCGCAAATATTGAAGGAACTCCAGCCGCCTTCCCTCTTCCCTCTTCCCCGTGTGACACGGTTATGGGCGGTTTTCCAAGCCACTGTCAGCACAATGAATATAAGTCCCACTGTCGGCAGCGTGGAAATAAGTCAAAGTGTGGAGGAAGCGGCGGACCTACGGGGAAGCCTGCTCCGTTCTCCCCGCAGTTAGGGACCGTTCTCTATGGCCAGGCTGTTAGCTGGGTGGAAATAAGTCAAAGTGTAGCGGAGACGAGGGACCGGGAAAAGCAGCGGACCTCCAGTTAAGCCTGCTCCTTTCTCCCCGCAGTTAGGGACCGTTCGCCATGGTACCGCTGCTGGGCAGGGTGGAAATAAAGCCCTTATCACACAGAGCACGCAAAGCACAGACCTCCGCCGACGAACCCATTCATTGTGTATGTGCTACCTCGGCGCAAGAGCGCACCGCTCTGCCTCCGAGCTGATGCCGCGGCGTCTGCGCGCCGCCAGCCTGCGCTCGAATTGAACATTTTTTAGGGGCCGTTCAGATGTAGCGTCTTTTGCGCGCACAAATCCATTAATTTCAATGTAAACGCGCATCAAGTGCGCTCACAATCCAAAGCGACGCCGTAGCGGTGCGCATTTGGTGCGACGCGCCTGTTTTTTTGTGTGCGTCTGCGGCACACAGAGATGGAAAAATCTCAACTTTTTCGAATGCAGCAAGTGCACTGCATGTCATGTGATAAGAATTAACCAATCAGCTCCACGGACCTGCTTCTTCCTTTCCATCCAACGGACTTCACAACATTCGGTGGTGTGAAAGGCAGCAAGCAATGGAGGAGCGACTGATCATTCTTGTCCAGGGATATCCAGAGTTATATGACCTGTATTCATCGTACTACTTTGACTCCAACAGAAGGAACAATGCCTGGAGAATTATCAGCTCGGAGCTTGGGATAACTGGTGAGCATGATGATGCGCTATTTTTATGGCTTTGTAACTTTTTTACTCCCCCTGTGAGTGACAGGCAGTTTTGGTTGCTTAGTAACGGCAGGCGCGACAGTAGCGCAACCTCCGAAGAGCCTAGGATAAAAGGATGGAAACGGCACAGCTGGCGTTTTCCACACGCTTTTAGATGCTACATCTGAATGGGGCCTTAATTTCACCTCGGCGCGTCCAATAGCAGAGAAGAGCCTGAAGTAGACCCAGAAGCGGTCACCATGGAGCTGTAGCTCTTGAACGAGCCTGTACCCCAAATCCTGTCTTGCGCGCCTTGCTCTCCGCTTGCTCTGCGCCCTACCCCGTTTCAGAGTTTCAGAGGACCTGGAGAATGTTTTAGGATAGTAATAACATTATACAAGATAATCATATTGCAAAGATAATATATATAAGATAATAACATTAAAGACAAAATTAAATTGCAATACTTTTTCAAAACGTGATGATTTTACCTTTCTGTACATTTTGTATACAAATTCATTAAATAATTTTGCTTGTAAATGTCTTTTTGCATTATGTTTATTATTGAAAACTCATTATTTGATCAATTTACATTGTGCCCCTAAAGTTCTTTGTGCGCTCCTTACTTTTTCAACTTAGGAGCACATGTGCTCCTTGGGAAAAAAAGTTAGCGTCAAGCCCTGATTATGTTTGGTTGCTTCACCTTGTCTTTGTCTTTGAGTTACTGTTAGCTGCTGATGGATCTACCTGCAAACAAATGGCCCTTCTATCAGCAAACGTGGCATATTTGAAAGGCAAATTTCAGTGGATTATGAAGCTACTGTTTGTTTATTTTAAAGTCAGTGATCTTGATGACTGAACTTCAATGGTTGTGTTGTGCATCTGCTGTTGTATAGAGGCAGTGGGGACACAGAGGTGGGGGCCACATGTTTCTGCTTCAAGTGCATTGCAGTGTTGCAGCTGTCAGATGTTTCCATTTAGCACAATGAAGTTGAGCCATCACTTGAGTAATGAGTCGTGCAAGCTCAGCTGCTGCTTCATGGTGTTGTTTTGTGGTGGTTTGCTGTAGATTTCATCATCTGCTCTCTCAGGTATACTGTATAAAGCTTACAGCTTGCAAAAGATATGAAGTGATAGAGTAGTGTGTTTCAAGTTCAGGTTAGGAAACTTGGTATTCAGCAAGACTTTGCCAGCAATTCTGAACTACTTAGTGATGACCAAAACAAAGGCTTTGGCTACCCTTTGTATAAAGTCTTGTACATTTTTTCTTTGGAAAAGGTCATACTGAGTATTATACCTGGTAGCAGAACGTGAACAAAAGCCCTCTAGAGTTTCACTAAAACTAGTTTAGCAAGCAGAGTATGACTGTTACACCGACACAGATCTTGTGTATTAGCTGAATGGGACTTAATAGTCTGACAAAGTACATGTTTCATTCCGTTTTTAAGTTTTCGGATTGTCTGTCTGTCCCTGTGTATGTCCCATCCTTGTGAGCACAATATCTCATGAACGCCTCAAGGGCATTTTTCTCAAATGTGACACAAATGTCCACTTGCACTCAGTGATAAACTGATAAGTTGTTGGTGGTCAAAGGTCAAGGTCACTGTAACCTTGCATTCATCTCATTCTCATGAACGCAATATCTCACAAACAGTTTTAAAGAAATTCTTTAAAGTATCTCAAGAACACCTTAAGGAAATTTCTCTAAATTTGACACAAATGTCCATTTCGACTGAAGAGTAAACTGATTAGAATTATGTGGTTGAAGGTCAAACGCCTTGAGGGAATTTCTTTAAATTTGGCAGAAAGGTTGACTTGGACTTGAGGAAAAATTGATAAGATTTTGATGGTCATAGTTCAAAGGTAAAGTCTGTGACCTCACCTGTCTTATTGTGGTGAACATAATATCTCAAGAATACCATGAGGGAATTTCTTCAACTTTGGCACAAATGTTCTTTGGGGCTCAACAATGAAAGGATTGGATTTCGGTGGTCAAATGTCAAGGTCACTGTGACCTTGCATCTGTCTCATTCTTGTGAAGACGGTATCTCAAGAACACCTTAAGGAAATTTCTCTAAATTTGACACAAATGTCCATTTTGACTGAAGAGTAAACTGATTAGAATTTTGTGGTCAAAGGTCAAGGTCACTGTGACCTAGCAAAATATGTTTTTGGCCATAACTTAATTTGCTAATTATGACAAACTTCACACAAATGTCTGATAGGACATAATAAAATAACGAAGTGCTGTCATTTTATATCTATATCTATATATAAATGGTCAAAGGTCACCTGCACTGTGACATCACAATGTTCTGCATCTGCTGTGAGGGTCCAAAGGACAGAGGGATGTCGTATGCTGTAAAGTCCTGTGAGGCAAATTGTGATTTGTGATACTGGGTTTTAAGATTAAAATTGAATTGAATTGAATTAAAATTGCATGGAACGCTTTTCTGGCCAATATTCAATGTCATATCTCAGGAAAAGAAGGGGAATTTGGTCAGATACTACATTGCTGATACTCATCTTGGGTGCCCATCTTGAAGCCGTGCTGATTATATAGATCATCTGTGTATGCGGACCATAAGACAATAGGCAAACATATTGTACTGCCCATGTTAAGCATCGTTGATAATGATGTAGAGGCAAATTAGCGATCATGAAGGGAAATTACAAGCAAGCAGATACATCTTGCAACAATTATCAGTCGTGATGTCCCTTTGCTGCTTAAGCCTCTGTTTCCGTATGGAGGAAAGTGCACAGTACTTCACTCAGTTAACAGGATTTCCAGACAGCTGTTTGTTTTTGTTCATCTTTATCACAGAATGAATGAAAACTTGCAGAGAATAAATTTGACCTGTAGGTAACCTGTGATCTTGACCTTAAAAATGAGATTGCTATAAAAAAAAAATCTTAATTCAAGGTTTACTTACCAGCCATTTTCTGTCATAGCTCCTGCATCTCATCTCCACTAGCTTAATGACAACTAAGCAAAGTCCATCCCCTGGTGAAGACTGTGAGATATGGTTGAAAGCTTGGGTAAAAGAAGGGTAGTAAGTGGATCTTGTTACATGTCCTCTATTTGAGGTTTGTCATACATTACCTAGACAATCTGATCCTGCGTACTGCTTATTCAGTATGCCTAGGATGCTCTGTCAAAGCAGGCTTAGTTTTCTGTTTTCCGGGCTCTGCCCTCTGCCCCTTTGTTCCCACATTACTTCCAGTAATTTGAAACTACATGGTGATAACTGAGCTAGAAGGCTTTGACTGCTTTCCTAGAAAAAATAATAATAGATAAAGGTCACTTAGGTATTACCTGAACGTTGTGTCAGGCTGATAGAAGTGAGCAGAAACCGGCCAGAGGTTCACAGAAACAAGCATGATGAGGGGAGGATGAAGGGTATTTTTTTATTGCAACAGTCCAAATGCCACTTTCTGATGTTTATCTGGGTCCAGGTAGCAGTAATTTAATCAGATATATCATTAGGAATTACACTGCTGGGAAGTACTGAAAAAAAAAAAAAAAGGTCTGATGATAAAAAATTCAAGGCCGTGGCATCCTTGCTGGTTTCCATCATACTTTCAATTGCTGGAAATTAGCACCAGACACCAGTCAAATGCTGGTAAAATATGCAAGTGGCTGCTAGATTTGCTTCACTCACCAGCACAAAAACAAACAAAAAAATGGTAATTTATTGAGTGCTAGTAGATTATTAAATCCATTAGCCTCAATGGCAGGTGGACTACAAAGTTAATTTCCAACTGGGAATGATCATAAAATGTATTATTTGCACTCTGTGTGGTATTAAAAAGGTCTTAAAATGTCTTAAATTTATTTTGGTGTACCCTGCAGAACCCTGACTGAGAAAAGTATGAAATTCTCACATTTCAGAAGCTGGAACAACAGATGTTTTGCCTTTGTTTAAAATGATTATTCGACAATTAAAATCGTCATTTTTGATTGATTGCTTTAGCGCCCTACTAGGTTAACTTGATAACCTTAGCTAGATAATACCTAGCCTATCTTCAGGGCTCCCATGGTCATGGAAAACCTGGAAAAGTCACAGAATTTCTTGATCACATTTTCCAGTCATGGAATTAGTAAAAAAAAAAGTTGAAAGTTTGGGAAAAGTTATGGAATTTTGTTTTGTGTAATGCAATTGTTACAGTTATCATCTGTGGATAACCTTACACTTGATGCAACAAAACGGCAGATTTATTTTCTGTAGCTGTTGACGTACAGTAGCTCACTATGTGACATTTTGTTCATAGAAATGTGTGGGAACCTTGTATCTAGGTTAACTAGATAGGCAAGTTTTTGACATGTGCGTAGTTTTCACATTTCCCATGTTCTGTGGGGAAAAAATCCAAACTCTGCTTCATAAAATGTAATTTTTTGACAAGTGTTTGTGTCTCTTTATGTACTATAAGCACTAAATTCATCATATTTACATCACCTCGTAATATTTTTCTCATCTGCAGTTGTGCCGCAGATGAAAAACGGTTACTAACAGTCTTGTACTTTGATTTATATCGTTCTTTTAAAATTAGATCATCAGTGTGGAGGTATTGAAAATATGTTGGTATATATTTGTACAGATTGTGATCCAAATGTAACTGAAAGACATCAAAAACCTTGCAAATGTTGAATTCTTAGAAGGAAAACTGTTCTCTTGTTTGGGCGTTTCCAGTTAGATGAGCAGGAGGCATGTACAGAGAGTATGAACAGTACATTTGTGTACTCAGATTGACTGCTCTGAGTAAATCCAACAAAGAGCAAGTGTCAGAACTTGTATTGGTACATTTACAAAGCTCTGTGTAAGCATCAGGATGTTTCTTTCCAGGAATGAGTTCAGCACATGAGGTCATTTAAATGTCATGTTCAAATCATAGCCTCTCATGCTCTGACTAGATTGTTTTCCTGTATGCCTTTAAATGCATCTTGTTTCCTACTAATAATGACAGCGAACCATTTCCTGCTCACAGGTGGGCCGATCCACGTCAGCTTTCCATCAGGGCTCACTCTGTCAGAGGTTGAGAGGAAGAATCCACTGGTGGTGCGAGGAGGACGTTATAGGCCGCCTGACTGTGAGGCGAGGCACCGGACAGCCATCATCATTCCCCACAGACACAGAGAACATCACTTGAAGTTCCTGTTATATTACCTGCATCCTTTTCTGCAGCGGCAACAGCTCAACTATGGAATTTATGTCATTCACCAGGTGAAACACACACAAACAACCAAGGCATATGTTACACACCAAATGAAGAGTCAAAGGGTGAATAAGGGATTCATTTAACATTTTACCTAGTGTTTTGATCCTCTCTTGGTAGAAACAAAAGGTAGTTCTTTTGTTGGATATTTACAGCTCTCATCTTGTGATTTGGTATCCACTTCAGTACAGGCTAGTGCCCTCTAGTGTGCCGTCACTGGATGTGCATGCTAGAGAATAAGAAAGTGGCTTAAAGGGTTTAATCTCCTTTGCTGCTTGTAACAATCCAGTCATGTTTACTTCTCAGCACTTTATCTCTAACACCTCTTGAGCTGGATTTTGCATTGCATAGCCACATGGTGGAATTTTTCCTTTTAATGATTTGACTTGTCTCTACTTAGCAGATACCTCAAAAAAGGCCTAGTAAGTTGATTGCCAGCTAAAAATGAATGTGTTTAGTTTTCTGGCCTTCCGGAAAATATACAGTTGATGTACGTTATATAGTAATTTATTACAAGGATGGGGGGAAATTGATTCTTAGGTGCATTGCAATGTAGACATGGATGATTCAGCATCAATTAACAAATGTCAGTAATCAATTATGTAAATGTTTGTTTGTTACATGATGTTAATGGAACAAAAGAGGTGGAACTCAACTGCGAAATCAGTGTAGCACCCGGACAGTCTACAGTGCAGATGAGCTAAAGTTAACGTGTACTAATTCATCTTCACAAAAGACAGCGGTTGTAAGCTTGTTTCAGTTTAATGTCTAAATAATTACATTTGTGAGGTGAACATGAAGTATATTCTATATATTGAAGTATATAGACTTACATTAACGAGAGGAGCAGTGATCAGCATGTAAACCAGCTTACCAACACACACTGCAGCATTAGCCAACTTAAAACACCTCTGTGGTGAAGAAAATAACTCTCTGCTAAGTTTGTTTTACCTCAAAAACCCCGTGCCTGGCCTGCCCAGTGTCTTGGCTTTCACTGGTGTTAACGAAGAGAGAGGCTGCTTGCAACTCCTCTGCTGGCATAACGTAAATAACAACACAGTGGCTGCGGCTGAGCACTCCGCCTCCCCCTCATGTTATTCTTATACACACAGAAGAATGTAAGGTGCTTTCAAATTCACATAAAAAGGATGCAGACCATATATTATTGAATAGAAGGTGAATTGCGTACTGTTTCATGGGAAATATTACAGTAGGCTGTGCCAACACTGGATCCCATATATATCTATATCCCACAACAGACAAGCGTGAGCGTCCGTAGATGGATACAATCCAACTGGCACCCCCTGATTCAAAAGTGAGGGTTAGGATGTAGGTTGAAGAGGAAAGGGACCTGGACAAGAGCCACGCTGTATGCAAGTAAAATAATCTGTTTATTTAATTATGGATCACCAAAAATACCATATGCTATACTTTAAAAGAAAGAGAAAAATAAATCGTGTTGACATCAAACATTTTGATGCACTGTGATGCATCGATAATCGTTTTTATTATTGAATCGTCACCCTCTGAATCGTAATCGAATCAAATTGTGAAGTGCCCTGAGATTCCCACCCCAAATTTATTTGGATAACTGAGAAAGGTCTGCTGGTTGTTGGATATAAGACAATGGCTAAGGATAGGAATGGAGAACCAGTTCCATACTGGTATGTATACCTCCAGGCCTATCAATTCGACGTGTTTTTCTGACAGCTGCGCATTGCAAAACAATGATGTCAAACCCATGTGTCTGTGCTGCTGGCAATGTGCAACAAGGAGTAATGGTGGAGACGCAGTGTTGCTTAATTTCACATAAAAAAGATGACAACACTACAGCTTGTAATGTCTGCAAAATGATCTTTTCAAGCAGCAATATGCTGAAACATTTTTCTACATGACATAGGTTGAAATTCCAGGAATGGCATGTATTTGACACTGTAGTACGTGTGTCACTGCTTTTTACCCAAGCAGCATGTCAGTTAGCAAGAGTAAATATCCTGAGGTATAATAATATTAACGACACACAGACAGGCTTAGCAGGTTTTTGCTTTGACTAAGAAAATGATTTAACAGTGGAGGTTTAGCACACCTGAGCCACATGCATGCCTACTACGTTTTACTATTGTGCTGTTTCTACACTGTTCAGACTCAGAGGAAATAAAGCAGTTGGTTTGACGATGAAAACCTGACTGACTTTTTTCAATCAATTAGGGAATTGGTAGAGAATCTGAATGATCTATTTTCTATATCCCACACTGACAAGCCAGAAGTTATCACTTCATTCCAAACTGATTTGTCAAATGTTGTGGTAAATTACACTCTTTTGAAGTAACTCTATCCTGGAAGTTCAAAAAATGTCCCTAGAATGTGAAGGAAGAATCCCAGTCATGCCCAGACATAGCCAGTTGTTTCCTCATGGCAAAAGCTGGTTTCCAACCAGTAGAGGGCAGTCACTATGCACATTCTTCACACAATATGTAAAATGCAAATACTTTGCACAAAATGCTAAGTTTTGGACCTGAATCCATTAACAACACTACTGAATACCCATATACATTGGTTTTCAGGTGATTAAAATGGTTTTGAGGTGATGTTACTCTTTAAATAGACTGGTGTGTAAGGTGAGGTCGTTGCTGCCTACTCTGACATCAAGTGTCGGCGTTTATTCCCCCAGGCTGGAAACTACACTTTCAACAGGGCCAAGCTGATGAACGTGGGTTTCCGTGAGGCCATGAAGGAAGAAGACTGGGACTGTCTCTTCTTTCATGATGTGGACCTCATTCCAGAGGACGATCGCAACACATACGTCTGCGACTCCAACCCCAAGCATGCAGCCATCGCCATGGACAAGTTTGGCTACAAGTATGTCCTTTCTTGTTTGTGTCCATCAAATGGATTGCTCCTCACAGACAGTCATGTTTAATATTTTTTTGTTTGAAATGATCATCTCCAGGCTTCCGTACAAGATGTACTTTGGAGGAGTGTCAGCTCTGACGCCACTGCACTACCTCAAAATGAACGGCTTTCCCAACAACTACTGGGGCTGGGGTGGAGAGGACGACGATATTGGAGTCAGGTGAGAATAGTTTTGGCAAGATTCCCCCAAGAATGGGAGGTTCTACTGTGGAAGGAATGTATCTGTAGCCAGTCAGACATTGACATTTCCAGTTTCCAAGCTCTGATATTACATTGATACTTAACACTAGGGATGTCTTGATCCGATCGCAGACATCGTTATCAGGGTAGATGCAAGGTAGGGCTTGATCAGGACATCCCTGATAAACACTAACCAAATACAACTGTCAGTTAACAACAAATTCCTGTTGGTCAGACACCAGATGTGTGGGACTCAGTTGAACTGTGTGAAAGACTGACATTTGTTTCTGGTCCTCTCAGAGTGTCTCTGGGGGGGATGTATATCACTCGTCCATCGCTGAGGTTCGGCCGGTACAAGATGATCAAACACAAGCTGGACAAAGGCAACGATGTGAACCCAAAGAGGTACGGTATTTGCAGACTCAAAAAATCTGAAATATGTTGAGGTCAAGGGGAAAAACTGCACTGCTTGATCATAGATGGAAACAGCAGAAAGTAAAAGTAAAATGTGCGCAGCCTTCAGTCTGTTCTGTCTTTGCTCTCCATTTAAAGGTTCAACATGCTGGCCAAGACACGGCAGACCTGGAAGTTGGATGGGATGAACACTGTTGAATATGAGACAATCTCAAAGCAATACCTGCCCCTCTACACCAACATCACTGTCAACATTGGCACTGAGGCCGGTCTACATCCACCTCCCCCAACACAACCTCCTCCTGCCAAAGCTGCAGGCAAAGAAGCTGCTGAAGTCTCAGCAAAAGGACCAGCCAAACTCAAAGAGGGCCACTCAGAGGAATAGTCCAAGAGACTGCTAATCAAGTTTCACCCTGCCATAACTTCAATGGGATAATCCTCTGGGTACAAGCTGTACAATGGTGGTTTTTCTCCTCACTCACCTGGAGTTTTTGCCCATTTTAAGCTTTCGTCAGTTTGTGGAGAATCAACATCGTATTGCCTGCGGACAGTGGGACGCTCATCTGGGTGATAAAAAAAAAACAAACAATTGACTTGAAGTTCTCAACCCTTAGTTGACGGCTCTCCACCTTGGTTCCTGTCACATCACTGATTCTTCTTCCAGGGGAGCCAGAGTGAAGAGTAAAGGGTAAAAGATGGACTCTATGAGTTTATATATCTACAGCGCTGTGGTCGCTGGTTAAACCTTGTGATGCCTTAGAAGCTTGTTCTTTTTTGTCTTTTCACTCATACCTTACATTATTTAGAATATTGGGTTTAATAGAGCAGTAGCTGCGATTTCCAGCAGTCACACTCATTTTTTGTCTCAACGCCAATGAATATGAGTAAAATGGAGACAGTTTCTTGTTTCCAGTTGAGTGTGAGAGGCTGCTACCATGAGTGCTGAATGACGGAACTTGACAGATTTGTGTATTACTGTTATTATTATGACTGCTTCTGACGTAACAGTGCACATATCCTGTCTGCACATATCTGGGGTCTCATTAAGGAAGCTCCCACATAGAGATGCTGAACTATATCCATTTGGTTTGTGTATCAAAAGATAGATTAAATCTTTCTATTGTTATGGACACTCTACACATACTTTTGCCTTCTGTCATGTTCAGTAGAATCACCAGTGCGAATGGGAGTGAGCGTTTTAAGTTCTGCACATCAAGGCCAAGGTACAGTTCCTCTGTGTAGCGTGTATTTTAGTGCATACAGTTCAGCCTTTCAAATTTCAGCATATCCAATATCTACTACATTTGATCAGTTTTCTTTTTTGCGTGTTTTCGTGTATTTGCCTTTATCAAATAGAGCAGGTCCTGGCAACGGTTATCAGTCTTCTGCCTTCAGATGAGTTTGAGATTCACATCAAAATGGAGTCTGTTTTGCTTAACTTGTCCTTACGTATACGTTGACTATGTGCAGTGTACTATATATGTCATGTTTATGTGTCCCTTAAGAATGCTGGCCTTCTCCCTTAACACTTGATATGTAGTCCATCTTTATAACATGCTTTGCCCATCTCCTGTTCTTGATCTATACATATCATTGAGAAATACACTAGAAAGGGTTTTTTCTCAACACAGAAAAGGAGTAAAAAACTAGAGATAATTTTGCGATGAGTTCACACCAGCCACTCTGCAACTAAGTGGGGTGCAGCGTCCCTTCCCTACTTTCTACCCCCGTACTAACTGCGCCCTTGCTTGGATTTCACTGATTTTCAGCCTTTGTTGTGATCTCAACTACACCTGTAAAGTTTTGTGACTGCATCTTGTATGAATGTGACATTATCATGTTGACAAATTCTGTCCGCAGACAGACATATAAACACTAGGCAAGGTACTTAAAATGTGAAAATGTACTTGTAATTTGTCACCAATTTATTTATCATTATATGTAAGTCGCAGGTAGGTTTGTCAAAAATGAAACGGTCTGTTTCTCTTTTTTTCTTTAAATCTTTTACGATTCGTGAAAATTGACCCCGTCTCTCAGCGCCGTGGCTGGTGTGAAATGCTGTTCTGTAACAAGTTATCACATGAAGACATCTGCCATTTCCATTCCAGTAGAGCCCATGTACTGCATGTTGACTCTCCGCCCTCCTCTTCACTCTTTTTCCCCCACTCTTGACAGATTTGATTGTAAACAGGAGAAAAAGAAACAGTCCCTTCATACGGTGAGGGTGACTTTACTGGCAGGTGAACAGGCTGAAACCAAAGACGACTGCACGGAAAGCTGTGATGCTGGATAAAAAGTGTGTGTGTGTGTGTGTGTGTGTGTGTGTGTGTGTGTGTGTGTGTGTGTGTGTGTGTGTGTGTGTGTATACAGTATACTTCATATGTCATGAATGATTTCTGTAACACTGTGTTATTCTTATCTTAATGGACAGGCCTATCACCACTTCCTATCAATACTTGTAGCATCTTTCGATTCTGTGTTCAAAGGATCTCCAAACCAACACATGTTCAGATTTCTCAAATTTAACAAACCACAGAGGAAGAAAACGTTTGTCTTCAGCAAAGGGATGATAGTTCATGGTTATGAGTGATGTTTTTTTTTTTTCTTCTTCTTTTTCAAATGCTGTACTGAAAAGTTATTTTTATCTAATTGTCATTGTGGTATTTGTCTGCTGACGTGGACAAGACGAGCTCTGAGAGTGGTTGCCTGTGATTTACATAAATAGATGAGTATGTACTTGTTATCATGTTGATGTGAATTCATATTCAAATCCTATGGCCTTAGCAACACACAGTACTAGTATTTGAATACTTGGTCACTAATACAATAGCATCTTTATATCCAGACTAAATATGCATGGCAACAAACCTATTAGTGAGGGAATGTACCGAGCACAATGTGGAGATGATACATATCAGTGCTTATCTAGAAAATACGAAGCATGCTGAAGCGTCTGTGTTGTTAACTGGAAACGTGTAATTGTGAATGAAAATGCAAGTTTCCATCTGCTGAACGGAGTGCTCCTCACTCTTTAATTTGAGGATTAAAATGTACAAAGGAAGCTTTTATTCCCAAAGTCACAACGTACAGATTCCATCATTTACTCTGTAACACTTGACCTGAGGTTCTGGGGTTTTTATTTGAAGCTACTTTATGTTTGATCTGACTCCGTTCTGATGTGGATAAGCTCAGCAGCAATAGAAAGCCGTCATCACAGGGTAGTACTGAAGCAACCAAGGGCAATGTGACTTTTTGAGTTATTTCTGCTCTCTTTATGAATTCTGCACAGTCCAGAGTGGCCTTAAATTCATTAATAAACTGATTATTCAAGAGAGTTTTGTTTGGTTTTGATCTTTAACCAAAATGGAGCATGGGTCAGAAGCAATACATACATTACATGCCAAATTCAAGTGAAGCAAACACAAATATATACATACTAGTCCATACCCATTGAGTACAGCATACCATACCATGACTTAGTCATACCAAAAATTAGAAAAAAACAACAACATTCGGCCACAGGGGGAGCCACAGCGATCGGTCGTATTTTAGCCATTTTTAATCATTTTTCTGTTGTTATAGCGCCACCCAGTTGCCAATTAGAGTTAAATTTCTCCAGTCACCTTGAAGCGTCCTGTTCTACATATCCACCAAGTTTAGTAAAAAATCAATATGGCGGTTAGGCCTAGATAAGAAATTAGCTCTCTAGCGCCCCCATTTTGTTTGATGGGGTCAATAATGGAGGGGTCCCCTCAGATTATGTGTGGTCATATGCCCACAAAGTTGCGTGGTGATCGGTGAAACCCTTGAGATGTTATACACCTTTATGTGATGAGCCACGCCCTCCGCAATATTCATTGCCTTATAGAAGCTCAGTTTTAGTAAGTTTTCCAACTTTTGCCAAGAGGGAACTTTAGATATTGGTCCCTAGATTATGTTCACCCAGTTTCATGCAGATCGCTCAAACTTCCTAGGAAGAGATCGATTTGAAGTGTTTTTCAAAAAATTCGAAATGGCAGAAAATCTATATAACCGGAAGTTATGGGTTCTTGAGGCAAATTTGTTCCTCGTGAGGAGAGGCATCTCTGTGCAAAGTTTCATGTCTCTACGACATACGGGGCATGAGATATGCCCATTCAAAGTTTGCAACTTCAATCAGTTGCTATAGCGCCCCCCTTTGGCCAATTGATGTAATATTGCTAAATTCACATCCTCCCATGACCCTCTATCACTGTGCCAAATTTCACATGGATTGACCAAGTCAGTGAGGAGAAAAACATCGAACAGACACACCCACAGACAGAGTTTTCGTCATTATATAGTAAGATATATCTATTTCATCTGCTAATGTGGGGGCAGCAGGCTGAGCAGAGCATTCCAGATGTCCCTCTCTTCAGCAATGCTTTCCAACTCCTCATGGGGCATCCTGACACATTCCCAGGCCAGATGAGATGTATCATCCCTCCAGCACGTTCTGGGTTCATCCCGGTGTCTCCTTCAAGTCGGCCATGCCCGGAAAACCTTCAACGGGAGGCGCCCAAACCACCTCGTGTGGCCCCTTTCGATGCCATGGAGCAGCAGCTCTATTCCGAGCTCCCAAAACCAATTAATTTGAACAGATGTATGTATTTCTAGTAAAATCTCCAAGCATTTCAGATTTTCTGAGGTCTTGGAACATAAGCAGACCATTTCAAATTTTAATTTAAGGACATACTTTCGACTCATTTCTGCCCTGCTCATTGAAAAAATTTAGCCACCACGTGAAAATATTGGAGCTCCCACATGCTGTTAACTGTCAAGGCTGTTTCCCATAAACTGGCCCAAACTTACTCCTTCCAACTTGCAAAAGTGAAGAGCATAGAAGTCAGAGTTTCTTTGTAATAAAAAAAGATGAACAGAGTAAAAACATATTGAGGCAGGAAAAGTTGGAAAAAAACCTGAAGGAGAATACTTGAAAAATTAACATTACAATAATGAATGAAAACCATAACAACACATATAAATGACAGAGGAAAACAAAACAGACATCAGTGTCATTTTTACACTCTTATCTCGTGTTTATTTTTGTCCATTTTTAACAAGCCATGTCACTGACAGACACATTGAGTATAGTCAAAATGCATCGTCACATAACGGCATACATTATTTCATAAGTAACACATGTACTGTGTCCCAAACACCAAAATTACCATTTCAGTGTTATATTTTTGGGACATTTATTCCAAAGCAGTTATTACAAGAACTTTATTTATACTTAGTCCTTTTTAAACAGGTAAAAATGTGCTGGAGGAAACTACAAAAAGAGAACTCAGAGAAAGTAAACAAAATAAATCTCGCACAAAGCTGCTTATTTCAGGTAATCATATTTTTACACTGATTTAGTATCATTACAGTTTTAAAATCACAGTATATGTCACCACATATGAGCTTGGCAAACTCATCCCATAATGAAACAGTATAGTTCTCTTCTTTAAAATGAATCCGTCTTACATTTGGACATAAGACTTTCAGGAGAAAGAGTCTATCCCATGTATCAACCACCAAAATGAGTTTGATAGTAAAAACTAGAAAGACACAGTGTACTAATGTCTCCCCCCAACTCCCATATTTACAATGTCCAGTGTCCCTATGTTGGACAATCAACTCAAAACAACCAAGAAACCACGCTACACTTAGGAAGTAAACTACGAATACTCTAGCCTCTACATAGATAAAGCTCCTCTCCAGGCATTGATTAAAGGAATACTTCACCCACCCATTTGTATGTCAGTTACTCACCCCGTGCTGAGTTGAATACATGACAATAACTTTGTTATTTTCGCATGCCTACACGGTGAATGAAGAATCCAAAAAGGGTGAAAATTCTTGATGAATTGAAGTCATAGGGGAGCGAGTTTAACAACAACAAAACTATATCAAAACGTCCATTTACACACTGTCACACAACTCGTACAGAAAATCCAAGTCTCATTCATCTAGCTGTGTGTTAAGTATTTGCCAAAGGCATGGATTTTTGCTAAAACCTTAACAGTTTACCGTGAAGGCATTTAACAAAAACAAATCTTCCTTGCGATTTCAGCATAACACAGGGTAAGAAATTCATAATCACATTATATTTTCAGGGGTGAAGTGTTTGTTTAAACTCCTAAAAACTCATCTCTGTTCAACACAGATACAGGTGTCTAAGTTGCCTTATAAAGTCTTAGATGTAACTCTGCACCTTAGCCTTATTTATATGCAAATTACATATGCCTACCAGCCATCAGCTGCAGTTTGAGCGTACCTGCTCACCTTCGACTCTGCTCATCAAACACACAAATCCCTGCTTGTAAACGGTCTAGATAAAATCTGCTCATTACAGCTATTAATGTCTTGTTAATGTTGTTGGATAAATGTTGATCCCCACCTAAACTTAGCTTGCAAAATACTGACACATAGCTGCACTAGGCTTCCCCTCTGATACCTCTCGTTTCACTGTAGCCAGTGGTGTAGTGGTAGTTGATAAGGCGGGTGTACTACTAGATAGATGGGTAGATTACCAAGGAGGAAGTAGGAATACTGTCCTATATGTTCCAGTGGCTTTTTGGCTGATCAGTGGCTATACTGTAAATGTTCAGACAAAGAGGTGGATGTACCCCATGTAGCTCTGTACACCCTCCACTACTAAGTGGCATGTAGAGCTTGGAAATTTTCAATTCCTAGAGGAGCTAATCCTCTAGTGCATGTCGATCCTCAGATGTTACTCTTGTCCACCAAGCATCAAGTGGTCTGCCACCCCTAATTCGCACTTCTCCCTGTATGGTTGACTTCCGTTTCCCCCCATGGCCAAACTGAGCATAATTAAACTCAACAGTGCCATTGGAGGGTAAATTATGTGGCAAATGGAAATTTGGAGGCAAACCAAGAGATCCAAAGCCACTATCCATTTCCCCACTACTCTGATACTGCTGGACTGACATGTAAGGAGGACTGGACATTGAATTGCGTCTATCTGCGACTCTCCCTGCCTCTCTTATTTCATCAATGACTTCTGCCATAGTGGCCCTCGGTACTGGACTGCCGTCCAACATCCTGGCGACCACGTCACAGTAAAGATTTCCCCTCAGAGTATCCTGTATGTAAGCAGGGCTTGTGTGGTGAAGTCTGTTTCCACTGAGAAGCTCAGCGATTATCTTACCCATCGCCCACACGTCTGAGCGTTGGTCGCGCTGACCCGGAGGTATTCTCCGGATCTCTGGAGCGGCATATGCAAGATTCCCCCTATCTTGGGCAGAGTTGAGGCCATCACGGTAAAACTTTGCAAAGTCCAAGTCAATGATCACAGCCCGGAATGTGCTGCCTTCCACCTGCGTGAGATTATTAAAGAAAGAGGAACTGAGGTATTCAACAAAAGAGCATTAATACAGTGGAGTAGTGGCACCCTGAGCAGAGAATGATGTCATGCTACCTCTGTGTGTGTTATAATCTGAGCTTCTCTGTGGTTTGTTGTGGTAAACCAGTCTGCCTGTGAGCGCATGTAAGTGCATGTGTGTATCCCACTAGCTAGCTCATCACCACAGATCTGCCCTGTGCTTATATGGCGGTTACCGTTGATAAAGGGATGGCTTTGGTGCAGAAGTGTAGCACCCATCCTCTGGTTCCCCATGGTTAGCACCGTCGGTACTGTTGCTGTTGTTTCCTGCTGTTTATAGAGTTAGCACTGTTAGCTAGTTAGCTAGTTAGTTATCTCCATGAGAACCATGTGCAGACAACTCATACACTCTAAACTTATTATGTGACCGTGTGATTATATGAATGATGCCACCATTGTTCAGCATGTGGCCAAACCTATTTCCAATTTGCATTGTGTACATTTATAAAATGATGTGTCTTACCATGATATTATCAGGCTTGAGGTCTTGGTGCACGTGTCATTGTTGTGGAGGTGAAACAGCCCTTCACACATTCCTGTGATGATTTCCCTCGTGATTGTTGTGTTCAGCTACAGTAGGGTGAAGGAAAACATCTTAAACTCACATTAATACTGATTTTTATAGTCTGATTTGCATTTCTGTGTTGCAGCAGGAAAATCATAGTAATAACGTTACGGGGACACAGATCTCTTAACACCTATGCTTTAACTTCTCAGACAATCAAAAACCAGTGCCATGTAAATAGCCTTTTGAGTAAATCATGATGTATAAAACCTTTATGCTGGAATTTCTTGGATGGAAGATAATCTTCTCCAAGTTTTCTCCAAAGATGTACTCCATTGGAATGTGCCATTTTAAATCGTGATGCATTATTGGTCTCCCAAGCAGCTTTACGATGTTTGGATGTTCTGCTTTCCTGTGAAAATGAGCCACAGAGATAGGATAAGGTTAGATAAGATAAGATTATATTGACTTTATTGTTCACCTCAACGGAAATTGATCTTTGGCTTCTCACAAGTACAGCAAAGGTACCTACAATACATATAACACAACCCACCATGAAAAAACACATTCAAATAAAGGCCTATAGTATATCATTTTTAGGCATAAATTAAAAGCAATGGTCAGGGCTGGGCAATTTTAGGCAAATTTAGGCAATTCTGAGCAACACGAGGCAGAATAGGAAAACAACAAGAAAGCTGTCATTACAATGTACATTTTGCATCAGTTAAGGATTGAATTCACAACCTCTGACACCAAGGAGCATCTTCTGTCTAACTGAGCTAATTAGCAAGTGTCAACTCATTGGTGGCTTCACAAATTGACTAAGCCAGCCACCAGGATGACAGCAGCTGTCAAGGCAGATTTCAAACTGCTGTCATAAATTCATTTATCAAGACAAAAATATGAAAATACACATCTTGCATCTAGACAGCATGGAGATGTTGTTAATTTGTCTTAGCAATGATTGATTTACTCCATAAGTGAAAGACTGATGTGTAAAGATACTCTATTCCCATTGACAGCAATGGTTCACACGAGGACAGAATTCAAAATGCTGTCAAAAATTCAGTTTTTGATATAAAATTCTCATATTTGCCAAACATCATCTACCATGCCTCCAAAATTTTGTTATTTTTTTTCATGAACATTGAAAACTTATTTAGCAAGAATTTGCATGTATATGTTTACAGTACTGTTTACAGTCAAACATCTTGATGCACTGGAGGCTCAATTTTTGATACATCAAAAATCTGTGAGACAAATTTGTGAAGGACAGTCTGAAGATACTCTGTAGCGAGTTTGGTGTCAATTGAGCACAAAATGTCGGAGGAGATATGCTTAAGATGTTTTAAAGTTTTTGAAAATAACAGAGTATGGACTTCATAATTTGCAATAGGTTTAAATGTACAAAAGTTTCTTCAGTATTGGGGCTACATTTTGGTTAAAGTTGTGAAGCTGTAGCACATATGGTTGATTTGTTGTGAATTTTTAAAGTTGTGAACTTTAGACGCTTGCTGTAGCGCCACCATCAGGACTATTGGCTTGTGTTTGCAGCTGAGCAAATCTGGCATAGGACTGGACCTTTGTGCAAAGTTTGGTGATTTTTCGCGCACGGGAAGTAGGATTTCCTACTTGCAGGTCGGAAATCAGGTCGGGAAAAAGCAGTTTACATCAATGCACAGATGCCCACAGAGACGCCATTGTTATGTATGTGATTAGGTTTGACACCAGCACAAATAATAATGATTTACAACTTAACCCAAATTAAGTAGTCATGTAGCGCGCGAGCCGCGGTGTTTACACTGGCGGCAAGACCTACCATTCATGTAGTTTCATTCATTCATTCATTCATTCATTCATCTAGTTTAAGACGGCGCTGTGTTCAGATACGGGAATTTAATTTCATTAATATAATTTAGTAATGTAGCGTCAAGTAATTTAATTTGTGAATGAGCGTTATGATTATTAGTTGTAAACTGATTGATCTTGAAAGGGTCAAAATTATTTAACAATTATTACAAATATTATTTAAAAGGAATATAAATATTGTCTAAAACAAACCATTGATTTTTAAAAGAACATGCAATAAATACATTGAATAAACACGTGGTACAGCATGAGGTTGATCATATTGACAATAGTATTTGACATGGAAAACATGATATTTTGATTTAATCATTAATAATTTGATTAAAATTCAGTGGTGGTTTGTTATTTAAGACAAGGATTTATTGATTGAATCAACTGACATTATTTATTTTTCTCTCTTTTGAGGTTATCAACCTAATGCTCAAAAGAAAATGCGTGGAGTTGTCCAGCGTCCTCTGTCATTGTCTATGGCGGGTGGAGTTCAGGTAGGCATTGAGGCTGAAACCAAACCATTACTCAACAATAATAGCTCAAATAAGCAGGTAGTAGAAAATAAGTTATATAAATCATAATAGAGAGCACAGCTTCTAAACTAGCAAGTGTTCCCTGATGCTGATGCATTTTGTTTCCAATGCCTGTATGCTCCATCATAAGTTCAAGGTCCACACAGTTCAATACATTCAGCATCATACTTGCATTTGGCCATGCCGTAAAGCTAGTTTGCTGTATTTCAAAATAAATCCTGTTTTTTTTTACAAACTTGACAACCCACCAGCTGGTAACCACTGGCCTAGCTAGAACCCTCTGAAAGGGTTCCAGGTGGAACCTTTATACAAGGTGTTTATTGTCTGATCAAGCATCCAGTCCTGTGTGTCTTACTTACTTATAAATCTTATACTCTCTGTCCATGTCCTCACGGGTCAGCCAGTTCCCATGAACCTTCTTCATCGCTGCCCACTGTCCATTGTACATCTCTTTGTACACTTTTGCGGTAGCACCCTTGCCATCATAACTGGCCATCTTAAAAAGAAGGATCGGATGTCATTAACATATAAGAGTGATGGTGACTGGGTAAGAAATGGGCTGTCACTTCCCACTCAGTGTACATGCAGAGAGGAATGCTGTCAAACTAGTTCATGCTGCAGATGAAAATAAAGATTAAATCTACGTTATTGGATTTCCTTTTATTTCTCGACATCCTATCTTAAAAATCTCATTACTAGATAGAGTAAATAGGTTGTTTGATTGGACATTCAAACTGTGATGCACAAACGTCATCAGTATGTCGTTTAGAGCTGTCTTTAAAATATATTAACTTCGTATGTATTGTAAGTACATACGGACATTATGATAACAATGTATTAACATACCCTTTCGTACAAAGAAACCCTTTTGAGGGTTTCTTTGTACGAAAGGCCTCAGACCACGAGTGTCCAATAATCAGTTCAGAGCAGGGCAAATTAAAACTTTTTAAGAATATTTGTTTAATCACAAATGTAAAATTCCTACGTACAAATGTAGAATTCATCCATCTCCCAAAGATAAAGTCCTCTTCCCTAGATTTAAGTTCTGTCAAGGGTAAACTCTTAATGGTATGACTTACCTTGTTTTGCCGTGTAGGTTTACGTTCTGCTGCTGAAGAGAAAAGAACCTGCAGGGGCTCTAAACATCTCCTTATGTCACAAACCACACCCTGAGGTGAATGAAAATGAAAGTATTTTTGTCACCAGTAGGTCAAAGTTTACATTTATTCGATGAAACATCTCCACATCTACTGGCTATATTGGCACCACATTTTTCTTCCAACACAATGTAGCCTGATTTTTACTCTAAAAATGATGTATCTCTAAAAAAATTAAGTTCAAATTTAGCGTAATTCCTCTCATGGAAGCCGAATCTGGTAGTTCTACACATACTCTCCCAAATTTCATAAATGCATTGCCATAAAATTTGGTTCTGACATTTATGTCCCCCTCAGGATGAAGTGAAATGACTTTGGTGATCTCTTGAGTTTTTATCAAGCACTGCTAGGAGGTCAAATTTTTAATTTTTTTTCAGAGAAAAATCTTAACGTCTGCTGGATGGATTGGCACAAAATCTAGTACAGACATTTATGGTCCCCAGAGGATGAATCTTAATGCCTTTTCCTCTAGCGCCACCATGAAGTTGACACTAATAGACTATATATAAAGATGAACAGTGCGTCTCCACTTCCTCCCACTGTACAAAAATGAAGCCAAGATACAGCCTCGGCCATCTCGGACTGGTGATGTCATTTGGAGCCAGAGCAATAGAGCCTGTCCAACCAATCAAAAGCAGCGCCATTGATAGGAAGCACACTGATTGGCACACATAGCTGTCAGTCATAATGTCAGACCCCCTTTCTATAGCATCAAATTACTAATTAAAACCAGACTTACCTGAAAAACAAGCACTTGAACATATATCAGTGTGATAACAATTACTTTAAGCCCAGTTCAGACCAAAGATTCGCAACGAGACAAAACCGTTTTAGAATGTTGCATAAAAAAGTTGCAGCGGTGTGAACTGACTGGTCTGAGCTCACCTCAAGCTGGCTGATGGTGTCACCTGGGACTCCGCTGGTCAAAACGCCAGTGGCTTGTTTTAGAGCATAAAGCATATCACCTGTTTCATCAGCCAACTGGCTTATAGTGAAGTCCGCTGGTCAAGTCAAAATATCATAGATGGCGTGTTCGCTTGCTGTGGCAGGTGCACCATCCCTGATGAGGCCTCTGTTTCCGTCCTCATGTGTGCTGGTGTCGGACGGTGGGTCACTGCTGCTGCTCGCTGTAAGTGCTCATACCCCCCACACACATCTGATCTGAACTGGACTGATATAATAAATCATCTTTTAGAAAATTTATTGGACATGTGCTTTGATCTTTTAGTTTGGCTCATGTCCCATCCACTAACTTGAAGGGGGGCCGGGTTTATGACCCATACTGTAGCCAGCCACTAGGGGGTGATTAAGATGTCCTGGTTTCTCTTTCAGGGAGCTGTCATGTACACTGCCTGGCCAAAAAAAAAGTCGCCACCTGGATTTAACTAAGCAAATAGGTACGAGCCTCCTATTGGATAATTACTGCATGGGCGATTATCTTTCAGCTGGCAACAAGTTATTTAACCCCAACTGCTGCAATGAGTTGCTTCTCAGATTCAGATTTATTTATGCTTGCTTCTCAGATTCAGATTTATTTATTCAATTTATTTGGTTTCTGACCATATCTGTAAAACTACTGTCATTCTCATGAACATCAGCTGTTATTTGTTTTTAGTGCTAATTAGCAAATGGTAGAATGCTAACATGCTATTTCCACACCTGCCAGCCTTAAGCATGTTAGCACTGTCCATTTGGACATGTTAGCATGCCCACTTACGCTCTTATGTTTTTGAGGACCCACCCTTTGGGGGTCTGTGTGACATGCTGGTACACCGCTCCATCTTGTTTGTCTCTAATTGCCAGTTGGTTTTGCAGCATGGTACAATTATGATAATAAAACAGATCTCAGTATACAAAAAAATAAAATAATAAGAATAAGAACTGAGAAAATTAAGAGAATAAAAGGGCGGCACAGTGGGGCAGTGGTTATTACATTGACATCTCACAGCATCTTGGGTAACCAGTTCGAACCTGGGGTGGGGGAGCCCTTCTGTGTGGAGTTTGCGTGCTCTCCCTGTGTCAGTGTGGGTTTTCTCCAGGTACTCCAGCTTCCTCCCACAGTCCAAAGACATGCAGGTTAATTGGTGACTCTAAATTGTCTGTAGGTGTGAATGTGAGTGTGAATGGTTGTCTGTCTCTATGTGTCAGCCCTGTGATAGTCTGGTGAGCTGTCTGGGGTGTACCCTGCCTCTCGCCCAATGTCAACTGGGATAGGCTCCTATTCACTCTTCAGTACTGCAGAGGAAACCACACATCCCACTTCCTTTCAATATGTGGCTTAGATAGACTGACAGATTTACTGCCCCAGATCCACATGTGACTGAGAAAAAATCTGCACAAGCGGTAGCTGTGGACTGAGAAAATTCACCTCGTCATGTGAAAAGTTTTCAGAGTTTAAAATAATTTCTGACTCTTGAGCATGGATGCTTTTGAACTTACAGTGTCATTGGTTTGGATGAGGAGGGGTGTGAAATAGTCTTAAGACACATACATGTGACAAAGACAGAATATAAATCTTAGAATTTGACACAGTGAGCACAGTGAATAGAGTTCAGTGTAGTCAGTTGAGATGTTTTAAGACACCCTGTGCAGATTAGTATTTGTTGCAGACAGGTGTAGGTCATTACTTCAGCAGTGTTAAACAATAACAGAGTGGTGGACTATGAAACAAGCTCTTCTGGTTTTCAAAAGGGTCAGTAGAATAAAAAAACAGTGCCTCTGGTTTTGCGCTTTTTGAGTGCTGATCTCTGAACCATGTTAGTTAATCAGTAACTATCTTGATGTGCACTTAATGGCTGCAGTCATTTTTTGAGCATTTCCTTGTTTTAATACTGCAGGAGATCAAATACCTTTGGTTTCATGCTGTAGATCAGACAAAGGAAAACATTTGAAGACATCAAGTTAAGAAATTCTTCAGTTTTTTTTTCTGATGTTTTGTAGACAAAACAATTAATTCAGAAATAATTAGCAGATCAATCAGTAACTAGAAGGGAAACCTGGAGAAATAAGATAGGCCAAATGCCCTATCTCACAATGGCAGCAAGAGTGAAAAATATTTTGTGTATCCTACCTGCTCCTATAATTAATGGGTTGTTTCTTGGTCCATGCTATACCCTTCCAACAAGTTTTAAGAAAATGGGGCTAGTAGTTTTCCTGTAATCCAGCCAACTTCCTTTGAGAAGTCGCTGCCACCCTGTATGCATACCCTGGAAAGACAGCTGTAACCGTTATTTGTTGTTTTAGTAATATAACCCTGAAGGAAACCCCAAAACGTGTGTGTTAATATTATATATATTTGACAGTAGATGTAATCAAAGCATGCTGTTGGTAAAAGATTTAATGTGTGTACATCTGACAAAGCAAAATACAGTGAATGAGTTATTTTAATAATATAGATATATTTAAGAATACATAGGCCTACACACAGAGTGATGGACACATGCTGGCTGATAGTGGCCCAGTTGCCAGAAAAAAATGTTGGCATTGTACATCTCTGCAAACTGTGGTTATCCATACACATCAAATCAATGTTTCCAAAGTACTGTAATTCTGACTACATGAGCTGATTTTGTCTCTGGCAGGTTGAGGGGATGGAGGATGGCATGCCAGTAGGGACACCAACTGCCTGGGTTACCAGTTTAATGCTAAACTATGGTAAAATTCAGCCAGTTAGTATTACCATTTCAAATCTGAATTATCATTTAAACTGTGTATGACTACCACACTTTGAAAACTCATGGTAAATACTATCCAGCATCATCCAAAGTTAGCAACAGTCTCCTAGATGCTGGCACAGCATGCAGTGTGGGTTTGTTTCACTGTTTCCTTGTTTACTGACTGGGTGTGCAGCAGGCAAACCCAGTGATGCTCCTGGTCCCTTGTCCTCATCCATAGTGACACATATTTGATATTTGATATACAGTATGTTTAGCCTACAAAAGGCTACTATGTTACTATTTTAATGTTTATGCAAACAGAAGTGCTGCTAATTATATTTGTGGTTTTCAAAATAAAACTTGGTGACATTATTTCAGTATGTGCATCGGTGCTTTTTGGAGATTTTCATCCCACAATGATAACCATTTGGTCACTATAATTGTGATAAGAAATGTTCATACTGTTTCATCCCTACATGCCACTGAGACAAGATGACTGTTAAGCCACAGAACACTGCAGACCACTGTTTGCCACCAACAAACAACAAAACCAGTTGTCTTTTAGTGAGTCGGGTACAATGACCTTTTCCTTTCCATAACCAAGTGGTTTTTGTGCTTAAATCTCACCACATGCTAACCACTACACTGTTGTACATAAACATAAAGTTTCAGCATATCCGCTACATAATAACACACAGATGTTCATGTTTGCAGAAAGATACACTGCCAAAATTTATTTTGGCATTGAGGTGGTTATAGAAATAAGGATTTTTGGAAAAAAACTTAATCATGCCCAGTAAGGGGGACCTGTACAAAATCTCAAATCAGTCAGAATCATATCTACCTACAGGTGTAAGATATGAAAGTTCCTTGGGTGCTTGAATTTGACTTGAGCGTATGTTGTTTTAAGTTTTAACTGTTAAAAGATCAGACTGTTGTGAACCAAGTTTGGAGAAGATGGGATAAAATTTGTCATTTTGCCACAGAATCAAAATGACAGAAAATCTTTTTACCAGTCTGAATCAAAAAATCAAGTTTTTCAGCTTCCACACCTCACAGTTCAGGAGCTATGGACTAAAGAGTAAAGTGCTTCACAAATTACATCTTATTTGGATCACCTAAAAAGTCACTTTCGTTGCCCATGACCTGACTTTCCACCGAGCTGAAATCATTTAACAAGTTTGAGATGTACACACAAGCAAGAAACATTTGAGGTATTTCGCAATAACATCATATTTTGAAATGTGGTCATCAGCCTGAGACTTTCATGACCATAAAAGAAGCATGTGACTCATAAGTTAAGCCATTTAGAAGTCATTAATATTAGAGCTAATAAATACCAGTAAAATCTGTACTTCATTGTTTTTTGTATGCTACTGAGTCTACATTACAATAATGTATTAGCTACAGAAAAGTAACCACTTTTCTACATAACCATCAGCTAGTCTATAGGCCTAGTGTTTGCTGCTCAGATTTTCTATTAATACAGTAGCCTAATGACAATTAAACCCCCAAATCAAATAACAAAACCCATCTCTGCAAGTGAGATTTCAGAATTTATTTATATACAGAAACATACACATAATGTATGAGCCATGTTCACAGTCTTACGCATTCAGATGCTAAAAAAAAACATTCACAGATAATTGTTCATGCCTGCAGATATTTCTTTCTTGGCAAGTAAATGACACGGATGACTAGCATGTTACAGCACATCCAAAGCCAGTACACAATGTCCTCTTATTACTGCTTTAAACTGCCTTACTGTGTTTCCAAGTTTGTAACTGGTTTCAAATCCTTTTTTTGTGTGTGAGAAAAACAGACACCTGTTGTAGCTTGAAGAACTGCTAGAAATACTTTTTACAAAACTTGGCTGTCTGTGCAGTAGAAAGATGCAAATACTTCTAAAACTTGGTGCTACATGACCAGAGGAAACAGAGGAAGAGGGCTGTGGCATTTGTTTTTGCTCAAGAAGTAGAAAACCTACAACTACCAGAATGCACTGCACCACGCCAGACCAATTAATGCTCCTGCTGGTAAGTGACATAACGTGAGCCTGGCCGTTTTTCCACAGAAAACAATAAGGCAGCTGGCTGGTAAAAAAAAAAAAGGGTCTCAAATTACAGTGAAACGGTACGCAAAGATATATTTCTGAAAACATTTAAAGGAAGAAATGGGCAACGCAGTAACAGAATCTTGGTTCATATCTGATCTGTGCTGCTTAGTTTTACCATTTCATGTCAGAATTTTCAGCCTCCATTTTTGCAATACAGGAAACAGTATGGTGCCCACTTCTTGTTCACAAATTTTTGCATAACAGTCAAACAGTGCACTAAAATATGTTTCTGAAGTAGAGCTTAGATTCTCTGCCCGAGCCGGGTTCGGGCTCCTCATAATAGACATAGGCTATGGAACCAATCACTTATCACACCTGGGGGGGGGGGGGGGGGGGGGATCATGTTTTTTGGTGGGCGGGGCTTAGCTGGAGGCAAAACAATTCTCCACAGACATTAGCCAGCACTAGCTAGCAACTTCTGTTGGCTTGTGTTAGACAATGGAGGAAGATGATGCAAGTGGTGCATTAAGAAATAGGCTACTGACTCTGATTGCCAGAGCGCACACTGGCCTTGCATAATTTGAAGCGCTGTCTGAATGTACCATTCGGTTATCCAGAGCGCCGCACGCTAGGCACTCTGTCTGCAGAGACGGAGCAGAAGAGCGCTGAGCAGAGTGAATGTGTGTGTAACTGTTTGTTAACTCATATAGAAATATAATGCTCCATTTCTTCGACCAACAGGGCTCTCATTTAAGTGTAGAGTATCAGATTTAATTTATGAACGCACCATGGGGACCAGGCTGGCCGACCCGTACGCTCTCACTCAGTGGATGGATGATTTGATAGGATTGCTGAAGGTGGGCCGGCTTTGTGGTCGATTACTATGCCAGTCTTACAAAGGAGGACAACACTTGAACAGTTTCCTCCGGTTTGTTTTGCTATTGAAAGCTAATGTTAGCTAATGCACTAAGAAGTTAGCGTTACAGAGAATTCCAACAGTCCTTTTAATACCTCCCCAATTTCTGGCTCCCAATAACACAACAAGACGACATTTTAAGATTCCTATGTAGCCTACAGCCCTGTGGTGGTGAGTTGTGTAAAATGATTTATTGTACATCGGCTGCCCATCATTAGAGAGTACCCAAAAGGTCCTGTCAGGCTGTGTCCCAGCCTTTGACAAAAATGTGTAGGCTACAGTTTGTAGTTTGAGCAACAGCCCTAGAGCCAGCAAAAATCTGCTGGATGCATGAAAAGTATCATCCAGTGGATTTGAGCTGAGGGATGAGCAGGGAGATCTGGCCGCTGGTAAGACTGAGGGAAATTTATCACAGTTCATTTACACATATTACCCATCCTATTATGATACAAAGCTGGTTGAAAATCCGCAAAGTATCCCTTCAATCTCATTTTACTTTTTACTCAATGGAAGTGTGTTTTACATGCTCTCCTAAGAAGATACCAAAAGTTAGGTGACCCAGCACCAACCATTCAACCAGCACATGCAATCCTTTTTGAGGTGACAAAGTTCTTACACTCTTAATCTTACTTGCTATTAAACTTGATATCATCAAATTTGACTATCTTCCCACCACGAGTCACCACCTCCTTCTGCTCCCATGTCTCAACCTCCCCATCTTTCTCCTGAAAGCGCCGCACAACCACCCTCCCCGTTGTGGGCAGGGTGCAGGGCAGATCCTTGGCAGCCTCTTGGTACAACTTCATTTTCATGAGGTCTTGTGTGATGCCAGATCCACCTGATGGGACCAGAGCCTGGTTTTTTTTCTTGTCCTCTAGCCTCTGAGGGGAGATGTGTGCTGCAGCTTGTGCTCGCACAGCTTTGAATTCTGGTCTGGGTGTACGCTCCCATTTCAGCGGTGATGGAGACACATTGTGTGGTGATGGATCTCTGTTAAATGGTGATGGAGCCCTGTTCATTGGCGATGCATCCCTGTTAAACGGTGATGGAGCCCTGTTCTTTGGCGATGCATCCCTGTTAAACGGTGATGGAGCCCTGTTCATTGGCGATGCATCCCTGTTAAACGGTGATGGAGCCCTGTTCATTGGCGATGGATCTCTATTAGCTGGAGATGCACCTCTGTTCACAGGTGACGGAGACCGGTTTCTGGCATTTGTGTGAGGTGAAGGTAGCTTAAGGTGGTCTTTCTGAACAGGAGCATTGTTGGCGACACCTGCACCTGCGGCTTTTCGTATCTCATTCATGACCCCACCCATGGATGCCCTCAGAGAAGGATCGGCGTCCACCATTCTACACACGGCATGGCAGTATGGCTGATCCTTAAGGATCTCCTTAATCTTGGCAGGACAGACGCTGGGTGTGTACAGCCGAATCCGGGCACAAAGCTCAGCAATCATCTTACCCATGGCCCACACGTCTGAACGCTGGTCTCTCTGACTGCCTCTCTGCAGCACCTCAGGGGCTGAGTAGGCCTCGTTCCCCATGTCTATGGCAGAGTTGAGACCAAAACGGAAGAACTTAGCCAGTCCCAGGTCGATGATGACAGCTCTGTTGGTGTCATGCTCCACCTGAAAGACAAATGTGTTAAGTGTTACTGTTTGAAATATCATCTTTTACAAAATTACAAAACAAATATCAGAATTTTAAAAATGGGATAACATAGAGTAAGGTGGTCATTCATCTCCAGCTTCTATCCATAGTCTACAGCCATGCTAGCAGCTCTGTGAGACTTTACTTCACCATACCATGGATGTATAAAGAGAACCAGATGCAGCGTTTAAGGCGGGCCCCCCACTGATGCCTATGTAAGTTGCTCAGTGCCACATGAAGTGAAAAAAATTAATCTATGGGTATAAAAAATTATACAGATCTTCAGCATCTATGGGCCCACAGAACAAGCGTATGTTTCCTACAACTAGGGTTAAGTACTGCACTCAATATTTTAAAGGATACTGACCAAATTACTTGGGTACTACCAAGTATCAAGTCAGGTTAAATCATTCAGCGCCAAATTTCGATACCTAAGAGAGCATCTGGCGCACATGTTTGACTCCTGACCTCCTAAGTAAAGATCTGGATTTGATAAACTGTTTTTGGTGTTATGTGTTTTTCTCTGCAACTGAGTCCCAGTTTTGTACTAGATCATGACATTCACAAGTTGACATGAACCCTTTGTACAGTATGCTGACAGTCAGCGCAGGCCTCCACTCACCATGATGTTTTCAGGCTTGAGGTCTTGATGGACGATATCTCTGGAGTGGAGGAACGCCAACCCTTCGCACATGCCGACAATGATAGTGCCTTTAACAGACGGAGATAACTGCAGAGATGGAAATTTGAGATTAAGGTTAGTTGGACTGGCATCAAGTATCACCCACATAATATTCAATCCAACTTCCTCATATTTAGCAAGTCGTTTCCTTGACATTAAGTTGCACACCCTTTTACTTCAGGCTTTAATGAAACTGCTTGACTGAAACAGGCCCGAAGTTAATAGGGTGTGATGTGAACTACTGTACAAACTCAGATTTAGATTTGTGCAGATTTTAGTCCTAAAATACAACAATGAGATAATATCATGCTAACAGTATATGAAGGATATTTTTATCTTAAACTAATTCACTCTACAAAAACAGGATGTGTCCCAAATGTCCATGGTGACTTGCCTTATTGTGTGCTTTGACTTCTCGGGATTAAAAAACATGTCATTATTGCCAAATTGTGCTCATACTCAGACTTTAAATCATGAAATGTGATCCTGACTTTACACACTTTATAAAAAGCACATGTGGTTTTACTACTATTTTGTATTCTAGGCCCTACTGTAATTAACTGCTATCTATAGTGTCACCTTGAATCATGTGCTTTTTGTCTGCTGTGATCATAACTTCACCGTTATTTTAGACTTTGATGCTTTGAAGATGGTCGTCTCCAAGTCCTCTCCGAAGATAAACTCTAGAGGAATAACCCATTTTCCGTCTTCCAGACTTATGTTGCCCAGAAGCTTCACTATGTTGGGATGATTTGCTTTGCTGCAGATCGGCGGTACCAAGTCATGGAGAGAAAGCAATGGAGAAATCAGCATTAAATAAAACACAATGATTTGAAACCATCTCATCCCAAAAACTCTGCAACTTAGATTTCGTAAAATGTTGTTAGGTAATACAAAATCAAGCCATTTAATGTAGTCAGGTCCAGTGATGTTGGAACATGCTTAATTGCATTTTAAGTACATGCTGCTTCACCGAAATGTTATTTTACAAAAACTTAATAAACATTAACAAAACCACTTGTACTTACTTATACACTTTACACTCTCTCTCCAGGTCTTTCCTACTGATGAGCTGTTGGGGGACCCTCTTTATAGCAGCCCAGGTATCATTGTATTTCTCCTTGTACACCTTCCCAAAACAGCCCTTTGCGATAGTTCCGGTGGAGTACGCCATCTGGGCCACACTGTGAGGACTGGAGAGTGACAGTGAGGTCATGTTAATAGTCACGTTGAAGCTTAGGCCGAACAATATACCTGATGCGCTCCACCCACCCGAACACCGTTGCAAACCAAGTAAACCCCGTTATGGCAATGGTACTTGTCGATGGCAGTGCCCCCCCAGCAGGACGATGCACCATGCCACACCACAAAAACTGCTCAGGAATGACCCGAGGAATGGGACAAAGAGCTCAAGGTGTTGACCTGGTCTCCAAATACCCCAATCCCAATCTGACTGAACATTTGAGGGACATGCTGGTACCCCAGAGGTACCCCCGACCCACGGTGGGTCCTCCTTGGACCGGACTTGGCTCTGACCTGTCAAGGCATGAACACAGGACCTTTGTGGGGTGTCCTATAGGGGATTTGGGGAATGTGGGGAATTTGGAGACCAGGTCAATGCCTTGAGGTCTCTGTCATGATCCTCCAGCCACTGGTGTGGTGTGGCATGGTGCATTGTCCTACTGGAGTGGCCAATACTACTGGGGACTGCCGCTGCCATAAGGGGACGTATCTGGACGTACCACCTGCAGTGGTGTTTAGGTGGGTGGACTGTGTCTGGTGGCAACCACATGAATGTCAGAACCCAAGGTTTCCTCAGCAGAACATTGCATTTTTCTGTTTGCTGGTGCAGCTTTACCGTGTTTCGTAAATGCTGCTGGGATTCTGGGGACTTTCCTCTTTGTCACCTTGCATAATACTAAAGTGTTCAGAGCTGTGGTGCAAGAACGATTCAGACAGGAGCTAATTTGATGATTACGATTATAAATACGATTATAAATAGTATACAAAGAAGTTGTATACTGCTGTATAGTTCCATCTATAAAATTGTATATTGTATTAGCAGTATACAATTTTATAGATGGAACTATACAGCAGTATACAACTTCTTTGTATACTGCTGTATAGTTCCATCTATAAAGCAGTATACAAAGAAGTTGTGATTCACTTAACTTCAACAACAATAAACAATCAAGCGTGTCATACACATAAATGAATACTAATACTAATGAATACTTTTGATACTCATAGCAATTTGCTGCTAATACTTGTATACTGAAGTACAACTTTGAATGCAGGACTTCACTTTGTTTTTTTAGTTTTCATTTTTACGCCATTTTTACATAATCTTTTCACATCCCCCGTTCATTCCAATGGATGTGAATTTCCCAGATCTACTATGGCTGCCATCTGACTCCATCCATCAGACGTATTTGGATGTCTGTAAGCCAATCACAGTGTTCTACATCATCTAAAGTGGAATACAGCCACACTCCCTTTTTTAACTAGTGTGGCCAACTGTGAGGCAAGGAAAAAGCTCAAGGCATATTTTAATCTATTAAGGGGAACAACACATAATTTAAGACTTCCAATGTGTTGTTTCAGTGGTCTAGTAAAGTTCAATCTACATTTGTGAACCTGAGCTACTCTCTCTCAAAGCCAGAAACCAGATCAGTCTCAAACGTGTGGTAGGGTATAGAGCTGGAGCTGCTCCATAAAAAATAAATGGGAGCCTGATTTTGTGGACTCACAGAATGTTTGTTTTCTTTTTTATACCCAAATGAGCTTTACTCCATTGTAGTGTTCTTAGTTATGAAACAGAAATTGTGCCCATATACTCAGAACATTCCCCTGGTGTCTCAGTGTCATCTACCATAAAACTTCAATCAAAAGCCTGGTCCTAATTAAACACCCAGTCTATTTAACTAGCCCGGTGTGGCCACATATTTTCACCAATAAAGGCCTGCCTCAATTAGACACCTGGCTACCAAGCAGTTTATTTTATAGAAGTTCTTCGGATATATAAAACCGGATTGTTGACTACCCACTTGAGCTAATATTAGTAAGCTGTTTAGATCATGTATATAAATATTAATGTTTAAACTTTTGTCAGTATGGAGATGCTACACAGCGTTAGCTCGGTTCAGTTTATTTTACTGAAACTGTGAACACCAGAGAAGACTGTAATTAATTCAGATTTATCGGCATGGTAGGTTATTTACATTCATTTAGTCTGTAAGGGTCCACTGATCAAAACAATCAAGGGTTTTTATAAAAATGTATCCAAGTGATGAATATTGTTTTAACAGGATAAAGTGGTGTTGTGTTGGTATGCAGAGTGCCGTCAAACAAGTGTCTTAACACATAATTGATATGTTATTCAAAGCCTAATGTGTAGTAATAATAATAGTAATAGTCATAGTGGTTCAAATAAACAACTTGACTGTGTTTGTGTGAAAGGAATTAAAGGCCTGTCCTATATAGACGCCTGTCCCAAATATAAGCCTGTTGAGTTCAGGGATTTAAGCGAATAATAGCCCAGACTACTAATTGAAGTTTTACGGTAACATCTTTCCCAATTCATTGTCCATGGAGCAGCTCCAGACTTCATATGCTATGATGTCACAAATTTGAGTTCTAGCACTTCAGTTTTTCATGTTTACTAATATTTTTGGACTGTCTTAGACCATAGGAATAACATGAATTCTGAAAATGGGCATAGTTTAAAGTTATGGGTGTAAAATCCTAGGGCCCAAGGGCTCCAGGGTCCCCTAAACCAGAGCCTCTGTGTGAAGTCTCTGTTATTAACTTTGCATCTTTGAACAGGAACAGTCTAAACGTTCACTTTGAAAATGTCACAAGAAAGAAACTATAATGATATATTTTAAGTGTGTTTTTATCCCCTCAGTATAGCGAAAGGACGAGCTCAGTATTCTATGCAATATGGACTCTTCAGCTCTGTGGGGACCGACAACAGCATGTTGGACCTGACCTGCTGGGACGTCCAGCAGGCCTAGGGGCCCATGGTGTCATAATCCGCTTATGGTTAAAGTACATCATTTCTGTTTAAACAGTTTTTAAAGCAAACAAGAGATGTTTTTTGCTTTTAAATGTCAAAATATCAAACGAAAGATCTATGGCTTTAATCCAGCATAAAACAATTCATCCATTAGAATGGACGGGGGACGTGTGTGTCTCTGGTACAATCAGAAATTTAGGGTATAGCAGAAGTTTAGACTATTGTGGTTATTAGGTACATGGTTCAGATTTCCAGTCCATTGGAATGGACAGAAAAAAACCCCATAAAGAACTTAATAACATTAATTGCTAATAATTCATGGTTCCATTCAGAGTACCAACCATGATAATCGTTTATGCATGTCTGAAATATAATTGGGTTCTGAATAGGTCAAGTCAAACAACTAGACATTCTTCCACCACTAACAGTCTCAATGAACTCATAAAATCAACTGCAAACATTGTGAAATTCACCAGGTTTCTACTAAACCACAGAGTCACTGTGTATGAATTGAAAATGCTTCTACGTGTATCCCCCAGTCAAGTGTCTTTTCAGCATGAGTGAAGCCTTCAAATGAGCAGTAATAAGCATTCCCAGGAAGGGAGTGCCACCTCAGTTGAGTAAGACTGAGTGTGTGTCACACTTCAAAGTTAAAAAAACCTGGTAATTCAACCAAACTGTCATTAAGTTTGACTTTATTTGAATCAATATTTGAATCACCAAACTAATTAGAGTTACAATGTGGGCATAGATTCAAAAAGCCTTGAACCAGGATATCCTGAATCCTTAAGTAACCTACAAAAATAATAAAATAAAAAAACAAACATGAATAAATAATACGAGAGAGCTGCTCACCTCAGGGACCATATGAATGAACCATAACCGAGGCTGTTGTGTAAATAACAGCTCCCCTGAGCTGATCTAAACAGACATGTTTATCTTTTTAGGAACTTTAACACAAGAGTGGCCTCCAGTCAGCATTCTGCAGTACATTTCACACACACTTGTAGCTTGTAGTTTGTTGTATAACAGGGAGATAAAAAAGCTGACAAACTGGTAAGTCCACAAGAGAAAACATAGTTTGTCTTAGCATTAGCTGGAGCATAAGGTTGGCAATGTGCTGCCAAAAAAACACACTGTAATGGTTAAGTTCCAGCCAGTAGCTTGAGAGTTATACTCATAGTATCTGAGAGACTACAGTCGTCTTACAGCAAATAACATTCACAAAGGACGGACAGAGGATGTTAGAAAAAGTATAATTACAAGTGGACACATTAAAGGCTTAACATATTAACATAGGAATTTTTACTGCAATTTCAACCTTCTAAACCTGCTCTAAAATGTTCTAAAAGTGGATTAATCAAGGTTCTGTGTTTTTCCATAGAGAGCTTCTCAGGTGCTTACCTTTTCGCTGTAGAGGAAAAGCAGCCGCGTCAGGTCTGAACATGAGTTGACATAGTTTCCTCTCTTTAAACCTGTTCCACGCCTTCTTGTATCCAGTCCATGGCCTTCAGTGAAGCAGGCACACCTGAGCGCTGCAGGTCTTAAAAGAGAAACAAGCCGTGAACTAAACAAACAAGAGTAGAAAATATCTGATAACAGGACATGTAATCTCTCAAGACAGATTCTGGAAGAAAAAAAAAAGTTGTTTTTTTTTGTTTAGTTTTTTTTTACTGATGGATTTCCAGATTGCAGGACATGTGACTGTGGGGATGAGGATGATGCAGTCTGGGTGAGGGGGAGGGGATATTTTCAAGCCAATGACCAGGTGGAAAATGCAGGAGCCACTTAGTAGCTTATACATACATAGTGTGCTCAGTTATACTGTTTAAATGAGACATGGACAGATTATCAAACAATGAGCCCATACTATTCGTAGTCGTTTTGCATCAGGATGGCAATGTTGGTCCATCTCTGGTTCATACTGAAATATTTTAAAGGGGCTTTAAGCAAAATTTAGAGCCTATAGCCTCGTTTCCACCAAACACTTTCGGTATGGTACCCTTGGAGCCAAAAGTAACCCTTCAGACATGGTACCTAAACCCTAGGTCTGCTCAGCATTTCCACCGCAAACAGTACTCTTAAATATAGGCGGGGTTGATGTCACTCAGTCTCCTTGTCCAGCACTCAGTGTATTTCCTCCTTATCAATCTGCACCTCTTTTATTGTCCACAGAACGGGGTTGCACACCTACATTTTCAGAACAAAATAGAACAGGCTGCAGTGAGAGTTTCTTTTAGATGGGATATTTAAAATAGCGTGTTTGTGCATTTAGTCCTTCTAAGGCAAGTTCAGGGGTTTAGTGTTGCCCGAGCCCACAGGAACAACGCTCCACAACACTTTGAGGATTAGGATATATGCAGTTCACATAATTCGGTCAAAATTAATATACATTTTGAAACACTTGAAGATCCACTCATTATTAAAACTGTATGTCATATAAAAACATCCTTTCATTTTATAGTTACAGTCTAGTAATATATGTAAACCTCTTTACAGTATGAACAGTGGTTACATACGCCACAACTCAGCCCTGTGCAGAGTGACTGTCCACTATCGACCAATAAACAGACTGCAGTGTTCACAGCTCCACCTTTTAGTACCAGATCTGTGTGCTATGTACACCAACTTCCTGTCTTTGTGTGTTTTCCCGCCTGTTTTCGGTCACACCTGTCTTGTTAGTCCTTCCCTGTTCCAAGACTCTTAGGCCCAATTCCAATCCGGCTCCTAAAGACTCAAGCCCTGAACCCTCACTGACTTAACTGATGTCAGCTGTAAGTGATTGAGTGTGAGAGTCTGAAAGGGCTCCGGATGCTACAAATAGGAATGGGACAGCACTTATCCCCCTCTCTACAAAATGTTATTAACATTGGCGGCTCTGNGTCAGCATATATTCCACACACAAAGAATATATATCTATATATATCGATAGATCTATCTATCTATCTATCTATCTCTATAGATATATATTCTTTGTGTGTGGAATATAACCACTGGTATTCCTCTGACTTTATGTGTGTTTATGTACCATCTTAAATCCTTGTTAATGTAATGTTTCATTGTTTATCTATCTGTTTTTTCGCTCTCCTTCCATAACATTACCGTTTGCGTATCTGCCGACCGTGTTACTTCCGGTGTTCCGAGGGCAACCCCTCTATTTGACGTCACAACGTTATGAACTGTGGGTGATTTCCTTACTGTAAGTCCGCATCGATGCTGACCTACGGTAAGGGGGCATAAAGGGCTCACTCACTGACTCGCTGACTTGACGATTTGACAATGGGACAGCCCTCACACACTCACGCACTTCACATGAACGCGCCTCTAAGTCAGTGAGTCTGTAAGGGATCAGATTGGAATTGGGCCTTCCCCTCACACCTGTTCTGTATGGCTGAATCCTAATTTCCGCACATCACCGCACTTGCAGACTTGCTAACTTTGCAGGTGCATTCCCAGGAAGTCTGGGAGTGCTTAGGGGTGCCCAAAGCTACAGTTCAACCAGTCTACAAGGAGCCTCAAGCGGGCTTTCCGCAGACTTCCAGAGAGTTCGCTTGGGTTGCAGACTTCACTGATTTAATAACCCACAATTCATTGTAATATGGACTTGATGTTGTGGGTCTTTCAACTGCTGAAAAAACAACAACTTATGAATGTGTAAAATAGTCACTGATAGGCAGGTCTACGAAAATGTTATATGTATAAGTATAGGCTGTAATTGACCTAAAAACACAAAAGAAGGTCTTCTAATGTCAGTAATACCCAATGTATTGAGTTATACTCCTGTCCTTATTTAAACATTTCTGATTTTAATTGTCTGTAGCCTGTATGTTATAAAGGGATGTATTAATAGCCTACATTTTGTTCTGTCACAAAAAGGCCAAACATGGGATTAATATCTTGTTATCTGCAGGAACAGATGAGAAGGCACTGTTCATCAACTTATATGACATGAATATGACAGCAGCAATAGTTTAACGTTTCCATGGCAACGAGTAAAACGGTCTCAAGGGCTGTCTGTCAGCCACTTGCAGTCTGCCCTCGCAGACTTTACGTGATGACAGTAAATACATCACACTATATACAGCTGAAGTCCATGAGGGCTCAGACTACAAGTGTTCCCAGTGTTCCCCTCCACACCCTTGTTGTTAGCCAATCCCCATTTCCCTCCTTTCGCCCGTGTCCTCCATCTCCAGCTGTGTCTCGTTCTTGTGATTAGTTTTCTGTGTATGTACAGTACAGGCCAAAAGTTTGGACACACCTTCTCATTCAATGCGTTTTCTTTATTTTCATGACTATTTACATTGTAGATTCTCACTGAAGGCATCAAAACTATGAATGAACACATGTGGAGTTATGTACTTAACAAAAAAAGGTGAAATAACTGAAAACATGTTTTATATTCTAGTTTCTTCAAAATAGCCACCCTTTGCTCTGATTACTGCTTTGCACACTCTTGGCATTCTCTCCATGAGCTTCAAGAGGTAGTCACCTGAAATGGTTTTCCAACAGTCTTGAAGGAGTTCCCAGAGGTGTTTAGCACTTGTTGGCCCCTTTGCCTTCACTCTGCGGTCCAGCTCACCCCAAACCATCTCTATTGGGTTCAGGTCCTGTGACTGTGGAGGCCAGGTCATCTGCCGCAGCACTCCATCACTCTCCTTCTTGGTCAAATAGCCCTTACACAGCCTGGAGGTGTGTTTGGGGTCATTGTCCTGTTGAAAAATAAATGATTGTCCAACTAAACGCAAACCAGATGGGATGGCGTGTCGCTGCAGGATGCTGTGGTAGCCATGCTGGTTCAGTGTGCCTTCAATTTTGAATAAATCCCCAACAGTGTCACCAGCAAAACACCCCCACACCATCACACCTCCTCCTCCATGCTTCACAGTGGGAACCAGGCATGTGGAATCCATCCGTTCACCTTTTCTGCGTCTCACAAAGACACGGCGGTTGGAACCAAAGATCTCAAATTTGGACTCATCAGACCAAAGCACAGATTTCCACTGGTCTAATGTCCATTCCTTGTGTTTCTTGGCCCAAACAAATCTCTTCTGCTTGTTGCCTCTCCTTAGCAGTGGTTTCCTAGCAGCTATTTGACCATGAAGGCCTGATTGGCGCAGTCTCCTCTTAACAGTTGTTCTAGAGATGGGTCTGCTGCTAGAACTCTGTGTGGCATTCATCTGGTCTCTGATCTGAGCTACTGTTAACTTGCGATTTCTGAGGCTGGTGACTCGTTTCGTTGTAGCGCTTGATGGTTTTTGCGACTCCACTTGGGGACACATTTAAAGTTTTTGCAATTTTCCGGACTGACTGACCTTCATTTCTTAAAGTAATGATGGCCACTCGTTTTTCTTTAGTTAGCTGATTGGTTCTTGCCATAATATGAATTTTAACAGTTGTCCAATAGGGCTGTCGGCTGTGTATTAACCTGACTTCTGCACAACACAACTGATGGTCCCAACCCCATTGATAAAGCAAGAAATTCCACTAATTAACCCTGATAAGGCACACCTGTGAAGTGGAAACCATTTCAGGTGACTACCTCTTGAAGCTCATGGAGAGAATGCCAAGAGTGTGCAAAGCAGTAATCAGAGCAAAGGGTGGCTATTTTGAAGAAACTAGAATATAAAACATGTTTTCAGTTATTTCACCTTTTTTTGTTAAGTACATAACTCCACGTGTGTTCATTCATAGTTTTGATGCCTTCAGTGAGAATCTACAATGTAAATAGTCATGAAAATAAAGAAAACGCATTGAATGAGAAGGTGTGTCCAAACTTTTGGCCTGTACTGTATATGGGTGTTCCTTATCAGTTCGTCCTCTGTTCATCCGTGTGTTCTTGGCGTCGTTTCCTGCCCTGTTTCCTGTCTGTCTGATATGTTTTTTTGGCCTGACTTCATCGTATTGCCCCAGTTGGTTTTCAGTTTAGTTTTGGTTTTGCTTTCATTTGGACTTTCAGTTACCTGCTTGTTCTGGATGGTTTTTTTTTCAGCTGCATTAAAGCTCGCTTTTTGTCAAAACTTCAACCTGCTTGTTACTCTGCATTTGGGTCCTCCCTGAACTGATACCTGACAGGAATCCTTTGCTAGCCTAGCTAGAGAGGCTCAAGACTAGCTCCTGCTGTTGAGGTTTGGCAGAACTGAGAGGATAGGCGTATGATGCACATTGTAGTTGATGAAATGTTAAAACTATTTATTCAGTGCATAGGCTACACATTTTTACAAATGGAGAATGTAAGCATTTCTTTAGGCCTACAATAATGATAAATAAAAATGAAAACATAAATAAATAACCATTATTTATTATTATTTATTTTCTTTAGCACCACCATGAGGTTGATATTTGTGGTTTTGAGTGAAATGTCTCAACAGCTATTTCTATTACTTGAATGCTAAGTGAGCCTACTAGTAGTAGGCTCACTTAGCATTCAAGTAATAGAAGTGACTGGCTGGTAATATTGCTCTCGTTTCCAGAAATGACATTGTACCAAGACGT